TCCTCCTCCTCCTCCTCTTCCTCCTCCTCCTCCTCCTCCTCCTCCTCCTCCTCCTCCTCCTCCTCCTCCTCCTCCTCCTCCTCCAGTCCTCCTCCTCATCGAGTCCTCGAGTCATCGAGTCCTCGTTCGCCTCGAGTCCTCTGCTCTGCGCCTCCCCTCTTGGGCGTGCGGCGCCGAGCCCGCGGCCGTGGCTGCCGCCTCCCGCGCCGTCCGTCATCGTGTGCTGGGGCGGGAGGAGGCCGCCTGCCGCCCCCGGGGGGGGGGGGGGGGGGGGCGAACGCCGCCGCCCTCGCTCGCCTCGGCGCGCCCAAGCGGCCCCTCGCCGCGCCCTTCCGTACCCCACCTCCCCAATGGTGCGCCCTTCCTCCTCCTCCCCCTCCCCCTCCCCTCCTCATCCTCCTCCCCTCCTCCTCCTCTCCTCCTCCTCCTCCTCCTCCTCCTCCTCCTCCTCCTCCTCCCTCCATCCTGCTCCTCCTCCCTCGAGTCCACGAGTCCTCCTCTCCTCCTCCTCCTCCTCCTCCTCCTCCTCCTCCTCCTCTTCCTCCTCCTCCTCCTCGGCAGAAGTGGGCGCTGCGAGTAGGGCGCGCCAAGTCCCCCTGGCAGCTTGTACGAGGACCCGCCGGGCTTTCGTGGCGACGGTACGCAGGCTGGGCTGGATGACGCAGGCGGCGCACTCCATTACCATCGGGGCGGAGGTGCTGGACTTGCGGGTCGTGCCGCTCCACGCCTTGCGGTACTACGTCAAGGGGGCCACCGAGCAGGGCCTCAAGGACGCCTGGCTGGAGAAGTGGGGCGAAAAGCTGGGCCTGCAGTCCGTGTTCGTGGAGCCCGTGCGGGCGCTCCTCAGGCGCCCCCTGCGCGGGCGCTGGACGCAGGCGCACCAGACGCGCGTCCGCACCCTCTGGTGCGGGGGCACTTGGCCGCAGCTGCGCCTCTTCCAGAAGGGCGCGGCGGAGAACGACACCTGCCAGGCTTGCCAGGGCGCGCGAGGGACCGACCGGCATCGGACTTTCGAGTGCCCCGCGCGCGAGGCCCACCGCCGCGAGGTGAAGGGGCACCACATCGTGCAGCGGGGCGCCAACCCCTGGCCAGGCACGGAGCAGCTCTGGGGCCGCGGGTTGGCCAACGACTCCGCGGTGGAGTTCGGGCTGTGGGACTTGCCATCGATGGACACCCTCCTGGTCCACGGCGAGTTCGACGGCTTCGTCGCGGGCGATGTCTACACCGACGGCAGCCTGCTGTACGGCAGCTACGCGGCTCTGCGGCGAGGAGGCTGGGCGTTCGTGCAGCTGACGCCCGACATGCAACTGCGTTTCGCTTGCTACGGGCCCCAGCCAGGGGCGCAATGGAGGCAGGCGATTTTCCGGAGTGAATGGGAGGCAGTTCGGCGCGTGCTGGAGGTGGCCTGCCCGCCGCTCACCATCTGGACCGACTTCCAGAGCATTCTCGACGGCTTCGCGCGCGGCCCAGCCTGGGCCGAGAGGCCGAGCACGATGCATGCTGAGACGTGGAGCCGCTGCTGGGCCCTGATCGCCGAGAACGGTGGCATCGGCCCGAGGGGGATTCGGTTTCAGAATGTGAAGGCGCACGCGACGCGGGCCCAGCGTCAAGTCATGGGCCTCGCGCAGTTTGCCGGAAAATCAATATGCTGATCAGTACGCCAAGCTAGGAGCCAAGCAGAACGAGCATGTAGTCTGGCAGCGAGAAGCATATATCCAACGATACAAACTCGTTTCGGATGTGTTAGAGTTCTCCGCTTACGTAGGGGTTCTCGGCCAGGGGCTCGTCGACACCTCCGAGAGTTCGGAACCGCGCAGAGCGGCTCCGAGCCAGTCTCCCGCGCCCCCACCCCCGCAGCCTAGTGGGGGAGTGGAGGCGCCTGCGGGACCTCTACCGCCGCCACCTGGCCTCCCTCTGCCTTCTCGGGCCGATCTGGACGGGGACGGAGGTAAAATAGAGCTCGCCCGCGCCAGAGGCCACCGTCTCGTGTGCCTCCCAAGAGTGGTATTCTGCCGTCGGTGTGTAAGGTACGCCCACGACAGATGGCTCGGTCTTCTGTCTCAGTGTCCTGGGGGCGATCCTCGGAAGATCTCTGGGCGTTTGAACCGGTTGGGGGAAGGGCGACACCCGACCACCAACCGCCTTTTCTGATGCAGCCCCATGTCGCCCAGGAGAGGCCTGGGGGATGGTGCTGCCTCATCGTCGTCGGTCGCGCTCTCTTGCTCATGGCACGGCAGATCAGGATAGCAGAATCCTCGTAGCAGAATCCTCCTCCTCCTCCTCCTCCTCCTCCTCCTCCTCCTCCTCCTGCTCCTCCTCCGCCTCCGCCTCCGCCTCCGCCTCCGCCTCCGCCTCCGCCTCCGCCTCCGCCTCCGCCTCCTCGCACATCATCATCCTCCTTCTAGCCTTCCTGGCCACGGCGCCGGAGAGGCTGGGGAAGGCATCGATCTGGCGGGCGGCCAGAAGGGCCGGGTGCGCCCAGTCCGCTCCTGTTCTCTTTCGCGAACGTCGGCCAGGCGCCCGACTGCGCCGTCGTGGCCGTGGCCCGTCCTCCAGGAGAGCCCAGCATCGAATCGATAAATCAGATCGGCGACCGAAGAGAATCGGATCGGCGGAGATCGGCAGCCAAGTCGGGAGAAGTCGGATCGGCGGACATCGGCTGGGTGGTGGGGCCTCCGTCGGGACATCGGAGCCCTGGATAGGAATCCCGAGTCGGGCAGGAATCGGAACCGGAAGCCATCGAAATCGAACCGAATCGAGTCGAAGAAATCGAAGCGGGCCCTGCCCTCCCCCTCGCCGCCGTTCTGCGTGTCCATAGGCGGCAGGTCGTTCTGGCTAAGCGTGTGCTGCGGCGGTCCCTGCGGGAGCGGCAGCTCATCGCGGCTGTCGAAGCGGTCATCTGGGGGGCGGCGACGCGCCGGGACGTTGCTGCCATCGAGGGCAACTCCTCCTCCTCCAATCCTTCTCCTTACAGATAACTCCTCCCTGTCGCACCCCGAGGCCAGTTTTAAGGCGGGTCGGGCGTTTCGCCTGAGACTTCATCACCGTTTATGCCTCTGAAGCTTAAAAAGTGACAACAGCTTCACAGATGGAGGGCGGGTGGTCTTCAAAATGTGGCTCTAGCCTCAACGCCGCGCACATTAGTTGTAAAAAATGCACGAGCTTCACGGATTGAGGGCAGGTCGTTTTCAAAATGTGACTCTCGCCTTAGCGCCGCGCACAGTCGTTTTTTTAATTTGCAAGAGCTTCACGGATTGAGGGCAGGTCGTTTTCAAAATGTGACTCTCGCCTTAGCGCGCCGCGCACATTCGTTATAAAGAATTGCAGGAGTTTCACGGGTTGAGGGCGGGTCGTTTTCAAAATGTGGATCTCGCCTTAGCACCACGCACATTCGTACTGAAAATTTGCAAAAGAGTTTCACGGATTGAGGGCGGTTCCATTTCAAAATGTGGCTCTCGCCTTAGCGCCGCGCACATTCGTTGCACAAAATTGCAAGATTTCTGGATTCCCATGATCAACGTGCCCGATATGGTGTTTTGGAAGGAATCAGGATTATGCGGTTGCAACAGTTATGTTGATTCAGGGTGTTGAAATCCGTAAATAGCGTTATCGCACGATTCCAGATCGCCAAAACGCAACAATCAGGTTGATACGTGGCGTTGAAATCCCGAGAACAATGTTTGGGCATGCTTCCGGATCTTCAAACGGTTGTCTACCAACGAGGCAGTTCCCTCAATGGAAATGAACCGGTGTAGGGGTCTATGAAGAGAGAGCTTGGAGGGAGGGTTAATTTTGACATCGTCGATGACTCTTGGGTTTACACTGGTCCTCCTCCTCCTCCTCCTCCTCCTCCTCCTCCTCCTCCTCCTCCTCCTCCTCCTCCTCCTCCTCCTCCTCCTCCTCCTCCTGACTTTCTCCTCATGAATGACTCCGTCCTGTCGCACACCGAGGCCACTCGTAAGGGTGGACCGAGCGTTTCGCCTGAGACCTCCTTACAATTTATGGGCCTGAAGCTTAAAGCTGACAATAATTTCACTGATGGAGGGCGGGTTGCGTCCAAAATGTGGCTCTCGCATTAGCGCCGCGCACAGTCGTTGTTTAATGTGCAAAGAGCTTCACCGATTGAGGGCGGGTCGTTTTGAAAATGTAGCTCTCGCCTTACGCACAGTCGTTTCGGAAATGTTCCAGAGCTTCACGGATTGAGGACAGGTCATTTTCAGAATGTGGCTCTCGCCTTAGCGCCGCGCTTCTTCGTTTTTAAAAATGATAGGTGCTCCCTGTTTCACGTTGTTGACGCACCAGGAACGGTGTTTTAGAACGGTTCAAGATTGTCAGGGCGCAACAATTACTTTGAGTCGCAGTGTTGAAGTCAATGGTGTTCGGGCACGATTCAAGATCGTCAAGACGCAACAGTCAGGTTGACTCGTGGCTCGGAAACCCTGAGAACAGTATATTGGCACGCTTCAGGACTTTCACACGGTTGTCTCCCAACGGGGCACTTCCCTCAGTGGAGATGAACCCTTGTAGGGGCCTATGCAGGGGGGCTTGGAGGAAGGATGTATTCCGGCATCGTTGATGAGTCTTGGGTTTACACTGGTCCTCCTCCTCCGCCTCCTCGAACCCTCCTCCTCCTCCTCCTCGGCCACCTCCCTCCTCTTCCGACCTGCTTCCTCAGCAGTTCTCCGTTCTCCCTGCTCGCACCCCGTCCGACCGAGGCCAGGACCGCCGCCTGCGGACGGCGCGGCACCAGACATCCCGACATCTACTGCGACTGCACCGCCCCCAGCACTGGCCACCAGCAACTGTACGCTGCCGCCGACGGCCCGTGCCCCCACCAAACCCACCCTGTGGTTGCAAGGGCCGCTTCCGGCGCTTACCACGGGCCAGGACACCAGCTCAGCTTCTCGGACCGCATCTGTGGCCTGGAACAGAACTCCCAGCGCGAAGAGGAGACACCAGCCATATTACACATGGTCGCTGCCGCCGAACTCCGCCCCCATGTCTTGGTTGACAAAACGGCGGCGGCGGACGAGTTCACGCCGATCCTGGACGGCAAAGACTCCCCATGCAGGCCTCGCGCCGACGCATGGGTTCAGACGCACCGCGAGGCCCAAGTCAACAGTACCGGCTTCTTGCGCGTGGGAAAAGTCGCTAGCCACCGGTGGGAGGATGGCATCAACGCAGGACAGGACGCATCAGCGTCGTGGCTAAGTGATTCAAGCGGGAGATCGACGAGCTCGCAACCGCGACTGTCGCCGAACACGACGTGGACACCGCCAAGCGTCGGCATCACTTGGCCGCGGTCCTCCACATCTCCGCGGCCAAGCGACCTCCGCCCATGGCCGTTCTGGCGGGCAGGACACACACAGACTGAATTGGCAGCCATGGAACTGGTCGCACATGGTCCGGCCATTGCTTCGGTGGCCCACAACCTCAGCCGGCAGTTTGACCAAGGCTTGGCGGAGGCGGATTTCCTCGCCGACGAAAACCCGCTGGGGCTGGGCGGGCCCATCGGCTTCCCAGTCGCTAGAGTCCCCGATGGCGCTGGCGAACACATCGACGTCGACATCGACGTTTTTGGCCTGGGCGCGGGCATGTGTAGTGACGACGACGACGACGGCCCTCAAACTTCGCCCCTGCCTCAGCGGCGCCAAATCCCGCCGCACCAACCCATCCAAGGACCAAGGCTGGAAGAGCGGCTAGCACGGACCAGCACACCAGGATGGTCTGTGCAGCCGACGCCGCCCTCCGAGCCCTCGACCCCGCCCCTTCCGCGTCGAGCTCCTCGGACTCGCCGAGCGGATACGACAGGCCAACGGACTATTCCTCGACCACCGTCGCCGCCCCCACAGCCACCACGCACACCCACGACAGCGCGCCTCAACCCAGACCTGTCCTGCATCGTCCGCAACAGGCTGCTGACGCCCACCAATCTCGCCACTGCCGCAGCAGCAACCAGTCGACCACCCGA